AGTTCACTGGAGGTAGTTATAACAGTGTTTGTGTTTATGGCTGTCAGTGGGGTTGGGTTATCTCTCCAAGTCACCCCCATGCAATTTTCATTACTTATTCTAATGCATATTGATGTACTTATGCCGTTTGGAAAGTTTGAATTCTTTCTGAAATAAATATTTCCAATTATGAGCATTTTTAACCTAGAGAGCAGAAAAATTGTTTTTGATTTTTTTATCATTGTTTTCAACACATAATTATTGATATTTTTATGCTATGTTTTTTTATAAAAAATTTTTATCAAATTTAGAGTTGTTTCATTGTATGACTTAAAATAGTTGTTGTAGACTAGAGTATGTGTGTATACCATATACTGGTTTAATTTCGTGGCGAAATATTTTCACGAATTTCACCTTTTTTGCTCCATCACAAAAATTTTTCACCAAGAAATTCTGCATCTCCTTTGCCATGTGGTGCAGTCTGCAAGGTACAGTTACATGTATTTACAAAAAATTAATTCCACAAAATCCTGGAAATCCAAGATTTGCGAAAATTTTCCACCACAAAAATAAACTGATATACAGTATATCTAAATGAGTTTCTTTTATTATGACTCGACTAATTTGCTTGTTTCATTTTTATGAATGAGTAGGTTTGCCTTCGGAAGGACTATCTAGACATGACATCACTCCATCGTTCTCAAGAGCTCAGACTAACTTACTAACTGATATTAGAGAAGGAAGGACTGAAACTGTTGATACTTGGCCTAAACAACAACTACTGAAAACACATGGTATGATAGTATATACACGTACAATGTACATGTATTATTACTGTATTGTTTTAATAATTTATTATTTATTTAACAATTATTATTATCACTATATTAGGTACTTTCATGACTATTGCATGGCTAGCATTAGCTATGTCGGGTGCCTTCTTTGCTGCCTGGATGAAACCAGTACTGCCTAATGGAGAATGGTTCATAGCTCATCGGATACTAATGGCTGGATCACTCATTGTTGGTGTACTAGGATTCATACTACCATTCATTGCACATGCTAGGAGTCCTACCCCTGGGCTTATCAGCTTCTCATCTGATGTGAGTCTACATAATAATGACTACTGTGAATTAATGTGTTTATTTTAGGGTAAGAACACAGCTCATTTCATTATTGGATTTATCATAATGGCACTTCATATTGCTAATGTAAGAATTACGCCTAAAGCAATAATTTTATTGTTTCTATATTTACTGTCAATAGCCTATTATTGCTATTTTCCGCTGTAATCCAAAAGGAGAAAAGTAAGACACTTCTTACATTAGACTTTTCATGTAATACTTTGACTGAGAGCTCAGTTCTGCATATACTGTACTTCTAATAGCTCA